GCGGCCCGGCTGCGGGTGTTTGCCGCGGCCACTTGCCGCGCGCCTTTCCGACGTCACACCAATTTTGAATTTGCAACCGCCATCTTTGGCCAGTTTTTTGGTTTCCGTGGAGTGCAATGACCAGTGTGCCGCTGCTCACTTAGTGATGGACTGTCCGCTTCCAGCTGTTCAGTGTTAGGCAGTTAGTTGTTCCTTTCCTCGGCCGCTATGGACAGCGCAAGCTGCTGCTGATCTTGGAGTGCCACCTACGATTGCAGGTTTGTCCATTTTCCTCTACTTAAATGTCTACTTTACGTATGTCCTATAAGTTCTTTTGTCTCTTATAAGAATTGTCTAAGAAAATAATAAAAAGTAAGTAAGAAGGTTATATAATATTTTAAACAGTCGCATTTTCATAAAAAACGATAATCTCAGGAGATTTGAATACAAGACTAGGTTTTCTTACAACTTCATAGTTTATTTGGTACGGTACCTACAATATTTTCTGTAGGTATGCCTGAACATGTAGATAGGTTATTAACCTAAGCACATGGGTAGAAAAGACCTACTTACCTACTCCGCAATTCGGAAGAATTGCGTACAAATTTACTTTCCATCTTTAATATATCCTTCTTCGGACTTTGTGAGTAGGTACCACAGATTTTACTTCTCCTGTACAAATTTCTGTAAATTCTAGTGCTCTGTTCCATACTTCCCAAACTACAACATGCATATCAGATTTTTAGCGTCTACCAGTGCTTACTGAGTTAATAGTTTCGGCAAGTCGGGTTTCTAAATAACGCACCTATGTAAGACCAAATAGACATATTTGGTGCTTTTTTATATTAGATACTTATTTTCTCGGTGTAATTAATATTGTAGATGTACTTTGGACCGGCTACATAAGCAATAATAGATTTATTTCACTGAAAATCTAGGACACCTTTAGATACCACATTCATTTGGCAGATTTACATAATGCGTGCTACTACTGAGAATTTTTTAAAAACCCAGTAATACTTTGCCCGACCCGGGAATCGAACCCGAGACCCCTTGCCCGCCAGCCGCACTTGCGACCACTCGGCCAACGAGGCAGTCTTG